GCATATATATGATTTTATTCTTTTAAAAACTTTCAAAATCGCTGCATAATAAACTTGTAAGCATGAATTGGATTATTTTAAATATTGTTAGTAGAACCACCAATACTAAACCACTCATAAACGTCCAAAATAGGTACTTCCAAGCAGGTCCTAACCCCTTTTCTATTATTTCAATTAAGGATGTACATAAAAGGGATTGGCTGGTGTAGTATTTCCAGTCAATTAAGTGTAGTCTGGATGATATTTGGCTAATCGCATATTGAAACAGACTTATTTACATAATAATAATTGTTACCAAATATTTATAAATAACAAGTTTTTTGGTTGCTAAACAACTAAAGCAAACTGACAAACTCCTTGCCGTCATGGATCCAATACCATTTTATACTTGCCGAAAACTACAACCTAATATTACATGATATCTTGGGTTAAGATTCCAAGAACAGCTAGCCTAAATATTTGTTGGGTATATATCATTTCTATGCATGGATGCGAATCAGAAATCTTCATTTGTGTCCATCCACATACAAAATTGCCAATCTTGACAGTGAACTGTCAAACAAACAAATAAAAATGTAGCATCATTTTAGCAGGGAGCATATATAAAAAAGTATACTTTTAATTATTCTGCCAATGCCAGCATTGGAACTAGGAAACGTTATCATCTCGTGAAGTGTTTATTGCTAGTCTTGACGCCGTGTACGTGCTGGATTCATTTTTGCATCAAAGATGTTTGAAAAATCTCAGATATATTCCTTCAATTGATCTCTCAATGGGGACCTTATTCTTCTTCATACTCTTCCCCTTCCTCTATTTTCTCACAAATCATTTGCTCAGAAAGCTACAAAATTATCCACCAAGTCCTCTTCTCTCCTTACCAGTAATAGGCCATCTGTACATCTTTAAGAAACCACTACATAGAACCTTGGCCAAGATTTCAAACAAGTATGGTCCAATCCTCTTCCTTCAATTCGGTTCTCGCCCCGTCCTCCTCATATCCTCTCCCTCTGCTGCAGAGGAATGTCTCAACAAAAACGACATCATATTCGCTAATCGTCCTAGGTTGCTTGCTGGAAAGCACCTCGGTTACAACTATACCACCCTTGTTTGGGCCTCATATGGTGACCATTGGCGCAACCTAAGACGGATAGCTTCCCTCGAAATTTTGTCTACGCATCGGATCCAAATGTTTTCTGATATACGTAGAAGTGAGGTTCATTTACTGGTAAAAAGACTCATCAGAGGTACTGAAGGGGGAGAATATCAGACAGTGGATATGAAATCGTCATTCTTTGTGATGTTGCTGAATATCATGATGAGAATGATTGCTGGAAAGCGATATTATCATGATGATGATGATGATTCTGGGAATTTGGAAGAAGCAAGAAAGTTTAAGGGGATTGTGACCGAGACTTTTCAATTGAGTGGTGCAACAAATATTGGAGATTTCATTCCACTTTTGAGGTGGATAGGAATGGATAAAATTGAAAATAGGTTGAAGATATTGAAGGAGAAGAGGGACAGATTCATGCAAGAATTAATTGATGAACACAGAAGGAGTACAACAACTTATAAGCAGAGGGAGAAGACTCTGATTGATATTCTCTTGTCACTCCAAGAGACTGAACCCGAATGTTATAAGGATGAAATTATCAGAGGCATCATGCAGGTAAATTTTTTGGGAATCAAAACCTTGTTTATCACTCACTATAGTCTGGAGAAAGTTTGCTTAGAGGTGTAAACTGAGTCGAGATATCCCTACTCTAGATAGCCCCATGCCAAGCACATGGCATGACTTGGGTGGCCCATGAGCCACTAAAGCCAGGAATGTATTGCACCACTTGCTGTGGGTGCACGGCCTGGCCCAGACTGGACTACTCATTTTTACACCTCTAAGTGTGGCCTTTGATTCTTTCAGCATTATCTTCTCCGAAGTCTTAACACGATGTTTATTGTATTTCTTCGCAAACAGAAAATGAAAAATTGACATGGATCATTTGTTTCCCTTGTATTACGGCTAAAGTAATCAAGAATTTCGAGAAACTGTGGCAATCATATGCCTACTTGTTTATTGAAACTAATTACATTCACATTAGTTTGATTGTGACAAAACATTTCTTAATAATGATTGTCAATTTGGGTAGGTAATAAAAATTTGCTAAACGACTTGTTTATATGTAGGTGATGTTATCTGCTGGGACAGACACTTCAGCAGCAACAATGGAATGGGCATTGTCACTTCTTCTGAACAACCCAGAGGCACTAATGAAGGCTCAAAATGAAATCGACAATTACATAGGGAATTCGAGACTAATCGAGGATTCTGAGCTCCCTCGACTTCCTTATCTCCACGGAATTATCAACGAGACGCTACGTATGTACCCCGTGGACCCCTTGATCCCTCCACACGAGTCATCCAACGAGTGCACGGTAGGGGGATTTAGAGTCCCCCGAGGTACAATGCTATTAGTGAACATATGGGCTATACAAAATGATCCTAACTTATGGGATGAGCCAAGAAAATTTAAACCCGAAAGGTTTCTTAATTTACCTGGCCAACGAGATGGATTTGTGCTGATGCCATTCGGGTATGGAAGGAGAGGGTGTCCCGGTGAGAATTTGGCAATGCACGTCGTTGGCCTGGTGGTGGGATCGTTGGTTCAGTGCTTCGAGTGGACTAGAGAGGGTGAAGAGCTGGTGGATATGAGTGAAGGTCCGGGGCTTACAATGCCGAAGGCTAAGCCACTCTTGGTCAAATGTAGGCCACGCCAAGGAATGCTGAAATTGCTTTCTCAAATTTGATTAAAGTATTGTGTGACAATATCGTCTTTTCTTTAATTTCGTCGAAATGCCTTCTAGCATAGGAAGAAGGGTTTGATCAAGTGTGTTTGTACTCGCGGCCCACAAAAATATATACTTTGCGAAGTGTGATGCGTTGTTTTTTTTTTTTAATACCACTTACGTCTGACCACCACCACGTGCTCAAATGGACCAAATATTCTCATAATAAAATTTAAGAAACTCCATTGGTAAAAATGCTGATTCCAATAAACTATAAATAAAAAAGATTCATCATTTTTCTTATATCTTTTGAGGATGCAAGAATGAAAAAAAAAGTCGATCCCAGACAACGGTGTAAATCTGTTGGGATTTTTTGATGAAATATAATCGACAAAATGAAAAATAAACAACAATTACAAAGCATAATAGAAAAATAACACAAAAACACCAAAATGCTGACTTAGTTCAGCAAATCGGCCTAATCGGGAGGCTCGGGGACTGAGCTCGTTCCACTAGTGCAAATCTTCCTTTCAAAGAGAGCATCGTGTACATCAAACCACTCAGAACACCAGTTTTGATCATTGATTCAAATGGATCTGCAAAATCAAGATTCAAATTCTTTTGAATAATCAACCCTAACAATCTTGACTCAAACTAATAACACAAACTCAACCAAGCCTAGAGTTATTGTAGCAGGATAATTTTTCACTGATCAATCTCAAACTAGGATTAAACTGAGAAGATTTTAACCAAAAAGGGAAGAAGAAGATCACATAGACGAAAACTAGAGGGAAAAAAATAAGAAGCCTCAAAAATGATAAAAATAACGTCTCAACCCAATGAACCGGCAGCCAGTCAATTAGATTAATAATCCAAGAATGAATCTCATCCATTCACCTGATCAGATGATTCACAACCCCTCTCAACTAGCATAATCCTTGCCACGACCATTGAACCATTTGGAGGTTGTGAGGCCATCCACAATCCAAATAATCAGCTAAAGCAACTTTCAGAAATAGTGCCCTTTTAATAGTGTTTTGAGAAGCACACACTCCCAATCTTCACATTGCCTCTCAATAACACTCAATTCTCTCTGGTTGCTGAATTGCACATTGAAAGCCAATCCTGCAAAAGAATTTAACATGTATCAATATGTAGTAAAGTCAAACATGATTCAAACTTTCCAATAGACAGGGGTGGACCCAGCACTCGGCGAGCCCCTGCAGCTGCCCGTGCTGGTTCCACCAAGAACAATTTTTTTTGGTTGATAATGAATAACTTTTTTAGATTATATACCTTATAATTTGTTTTATTTTCAAATTTTTCTTGTAGTTCACTTGGGTAGAGCTCCTATATTCATATAGGAGGTCCTGTTTTCAAATTCCTTTCCCAACGTTTTTATTGTGTAAGATTTTTAATACTTTAATTTTTACCTTTTACCAAAATTAAATGGGATG